CCTTCATTACAAGCTTTATATACTAGATATAAAGTTAAACAGTTTGTATTCTTTATTTGAGTTCTTCCTAAGCACCTTGAGGCTAATCATATGGAATCTGTGATTTACCTGCTGTACAGTTTTCTAGGAGAGACTTAATGAGTGATCCACAAATTCCAGTCTGATGTGATTTGTATTTGTGAGAGTGTCATTTTAATGAAAAGGTGATTAAATGTGTTTAATCTTATAAACCAATGTTACCTTAAAATTTTTTTAATTTTTATTTTTATTTTTTTAAGATGGAGTTTCGCTCTTGTCGCCCAGTCTGGAGTTCAATGGCGCGATCTCAGCTCACTGCAACCTCTGCCTCCTAGGTTCTAGTGATTCTCCTGCCTCAGCCTCCCAAGTAGCTGGGATTACAGGCATGCGCCACCACGCCTAGCAAATTTTGTATTTGTAGTAGACATGGGGTTTCACTATGTTGGTCAGGCTGGTTTAACTCCTGATGTCAGGTGATCTACCAACCTCAGCCTCCCAAAGTGCTGGGATTATAGGTGTGAACCACCGCGCTGGCCCATGTTACCTTAAAATTTAAATTCAGGCCGGGCGCCATGGCTCATGCCTATAATCCCAACACTTTGGGAGGCCGAGGCGGGCAGATAACCTGAAGTCACGAGTTCGAGACCAGCCTGGCCAACATGGCGAAACCCTGTCTGTACTAAAAATACAAAAATTAGCTAGGCATGGTGGCACGCGCCTGTAATTCCAGCTACTCGGCAGGCTGAGGTATGAAAATCACTTAAACCCGGGAGGCGGAGGTTGCGCTGAGCCAAGATGGCACCACTGCGCTCCAACCTGGCGGACAGAGTAAGACTCTCTCTCAAAAAAAAAAAAAAAAGCCTACACAAACCATGAGAGAACAACTAATCAGAAAACGTTTATATTACCTGCAGAGTTTTATGAAATGTGGCAAAAGAGAATGGACAAAATCGTGAAGGGATTAATAAGATTCTTAGTGAAGGTATTTTTTTAAGTGCTTGGCATTATTATTTTTAATAGCTCCACTGTGTTCAAAAACTCAACCCTGGCTTATTTATGCTACTTCTGAATGAAGTACTGAGATGTTAGTGTTTTTTCTACTTTCACAATCTTTAAAATCTAGAACTTCCTGGTAGTTCTCATCACTCTTCTATGTGTAAAACCTTTGCTTCTTCACCAGTATTCTGTTGTACCTTCATCTTCCACTTATCATTTCACATACCATATTCATTCATTCTTGACTGTTCCCCATTCCTCAAACATATTAACTGTCTTACTTTTTCCAAACCTTTTACTTTTGCTGGAATGAGCTTTTCCTTTAAGTCCAAGCCCAAATGTCACTACCTCTATAAATATCAGTCAGGACTAATTTCTTCCTCTTGTTTTCATAAGACTCTATTTATACTGCTATCCTCATATGGTATGGTGACTAAAAATGCCTAATTTCAAAGATAGGGACCATGTCATATCTATCTTTATCTAACCCAGATGGTGTCCTTTTTACTACCCTTTGTAACAAATGACCAGATGCTGAGATCAACTGTTTTATATTTCATGTCAAATTTTCAAAATGTGCGTGGTGTTCATAAAGAGAGTGTGTGTGTGTGTGTGTGTGTGTGTGTGTGTGTGTGTGGCAATTAGTAGGCATGGATATTAAAGGAGATTAGGCTGCATTAAAGAATAAGATACCAGGCCAGTCATGGTGGCTCACGCCTGTAATCCCAGCACTTTGGAAGGCTGAGGTGGGTGGATCACCTGAAGTCAGGAGTTCAGGACCAGCCTGGCCAACATGGTGAAACCCCTACTAAAAATACAAAAATTAGCCGGGCATGGCAGTGCGTGCCTGTAGTCCTAGCTACTGGGGAGGCTGAGGCAAGAGAATTGCCTGAACCCAGTAGATGGTGGTTGCAGTGAGCCAAGATTGCACCACTGTACTCCAGCCTAAGCAATAGAGACTGCATCTGAAAAAAAAAGAGAATAAGATACCATTGGAAATGTGCTGATGGAGCTTTCGTGATGTAGCCAGGCATAGTGGTGCACACCCATAGTCCTAGCTCCTCAGGAGGCCTAGGTGGGGAGGATCCTTTGAGCCCAGGAGCTCGAGTGTACAGTGAGCTGTGAACATGCCACTGCACTCCAGCCTTGACAACAGAGTGAGACTGTCTCTAATGAAACAAAGCAAAAAAACAAATTCCATGACTTAGAGTCCAACTGACCCCACATTAAATCACTACGACATGGCTTCTATAGGTATTTATTGAAAGCATTTTTTGTCTCAGACCTTTTATCATAATAGAGAATTTTAAGCAGGAGACCTCCAAGACGAGTCTCAAAAATTTGTTAAATTTAGATAAGTAAAAAGAATCAGACCTGGTACTGTGGCTAACGCCTGTAATCCTAACACTTGGGGACGCCAAGGCAGGCGGATCACCTGTGGTCAGGAGTTGGAGACCAGTCTGGCCAATGTGGTGAAACCCCATCTCCAGTAAAAATAGAAAAATTAGCCAGGCATGATGGCATGTACTTGTAATCGCAGCTACTTGGGAGGCTGAGGCGGGAGAATCACTTGAACCCAAGAGGTGGAGGCTGCAGTGAGCCCAGATCGTGCCACTGCACTCCAGCCTGGGCAACAGAGTGAGACTCCATCTCAGAAAAAAAAAAAAAAAAATCAGAAGCACATTTGCACATAAATTGGCCTTGTTTTTTAAAGCTTTCTTTCGAGGCAACCTACAACCTTGAATATTTCTTGAATAGACTACAGAAGTAATATGCATAACATTTTTAGTTTCTTAGGGGGATATGACTGTTTTAAGTCAAATTATTTTAAGTCAGATTATATTACAGTGAATTCTGCCAGATATATAGTTTGTTTTCATTTCAGTAGACTATAATTCTGCCAAGTCTGTTTTAAGAAGTTATTATCCCAGTCTATACAGAACCCAAATTCTGATGCTTCTATAGATGTGTGTATATGTTGAGGTGGCATTTCCAACACAAAAAAAGGTCTCATGTTCACATTTCATTTTCATTCCTGTGTTATTTTTCTAAGGGTGGAAATTTGTCATTGTATGTTTTAGTGGTGTTTGGAATTTGGGGTGTAAATTTGAAATACTTGTCATTTGATGAACTGAAAATAGTGTGAAATGTTAATTGTTAGATTAAAAAGGAAGAAGTTTATTCTGTTCTCTGCCTTTACCTGCCTATAAGTTTAAGTAGTATAGGAAATTCACAAGGAATAAAGGTTTAGCAAACAGCATATTATCAATCACTTTATTACAGATAAGAACTAAAATACACATTTTTTTTGTACAAAGTTAAATTGGTGAGAAGGAAGTCATTGGAAACATGGCCATAAAGTACTGTTGCCATAGAAATAACATCATTTTACAAAAACCCTTCACTGTTAAGGGATTCACTATAACTGAATTTTTACTTTGGTTTTGGTTTTTTTTTCTGTGTTTTGGGGGTTTTTTGTTTGGTTGGTTGGTTTTGTTTGTTTGTTTTTTGAGACAGGGTCTTATGCTGTCGCTTAGGCTGGAGAGCAGTGGCGCTATCTTGTATTTTTTTTGTGGAGACAAGATTTGGCTGTGTTGCCCAGGCTGGTCTCGAACTCCTGAGCTTACCCACCTCCATCCCCCCAATCCATCCATCTCCCAAAGTGCTGGGATTATAGGTATGAACCACCACACCTGGCCAAGATTTTTAGTTTCTTAATTTTAATGTGTTGCTTTGTTACAGGATATACTTTGTAGTTAAATTTTTAGAGAAGATGGATGCTAGATTTTATTCAATTGTTGGGTCCTTGAGCAGAATTATTAAGGCTACCAGACAACTACAGTGATGCTGCTGTCTATAATCAATACTTGAAATTGCCATTTCTGTTACTTTAGAAATTAGTGAGGATGTAAATGAAAACTGATAACAAAATGTATTTATGGTGTTATCAGGGAAACAATTTCATTGCACTTTAGCTGTTGAAGTCTGTATAGGTGGTGTTCTAGTTCAGTTCATCTTTGTAAAAACTTTTCAATACTCTGAAGCTAGATGATTATTTTTATCTAGTTCTTTAAAAAATAAAAAATAAAAACTTTGGGGGTTAGCATCTAGTAAATTACATGAGTCTTTAGCTAATTAGTATACCTAAAAGAATCCTTTTAGGATCAGGAGACAAAATACAATTCATATTCACTACTTAGAGCTTATCATTGTAGATTCTTGTTAAGTAAAAAAGTTTACTTGATAAAAGTAAATTTGTGCACTTAACTTACCACTTAAATTACCAACAGTCAGTTTAGGTGTTTGCTTTGTGACCTTGAGCAGATTACTTGGTTTGTTTAATGATCTGTCAAGTGACCTTAATCAAACAGTGAAGAAATAATCTAAAAAATTACTGTATAACTCCATTTGTCTGTGTCTTTGACACATTCAAAAGTGGTTCTCTCCCCTGCCTTTTTTTTAAATCCCCAGCAGGAACAGTTTCATGGGAATGGAACCTCTGCAGATGCATAGAGCCCCATGCTTGTGTTAATATTCTGTTATTACCAACTTGAAATTCTTAATAGTTTTTTTTGTTGTTTGTTTGTTTGTTTTTGTTTTTGTTTTTAACAAGGGGCCCTACATATTTTCCATTTACTCTGGGCTCATGTTATGTAGCAGCTCCTGGTCCTGAGAAACTAGTTGTCATAATAGATTGCAATATGTAACTGAATAGTAATTGTTCTATGTTATCTAAGTGTGTGACTCTATAATCTTTGCAATTGTAGAAGAAATCTTTGTAGGCAGATTTTATTTCAATATATTTTAGTGAGGGAATGTAGGTAACTTGGGCTAAAATGTTATTTCATAATAGATGGTTTTAGGGATTTACCATGTAATCAAAATTTTAGCATTTTAGAGCATAAAAGTACTTGCTTAAATTTTTTTTTAAATCTTATTAGATGAAATGAATTCAGAGCAGGATTTAACTCCTTGTGCCATTACAGGTTTTCAAGTTATACCCAACCAGCAGCAAAACTACCAAGGAATAGTTGGAGTTCAGCAACCCCAGAGTCAGAGCCTAGTCAGTGGCCAACCCAACAGCATTGGAAATCAGATTCAAGGAGTAGTCATCCCCTATACTTCAGTGCCAACATATCAGGTACAGTGTCTCTTTTATGTACTTTAGGTAGAGATGATTTTGAATAAATTAAGTGCACAACTACAATACATCTTCTATGCTCTCCTTTTAATACAGGAAAAACAATTCTGTAATATACAACTTTATAGTCTTAAGAGTTTTATTAGTTATAGCAGCTTTGTTTTATCCTCATTTTATTGCAGTATTCATTTATTAATGTTTAGGATCTGCAACACATGGGTATTGGCAAGTAAATATTGTCTGGCATTGTCTTATGTTTCCAGCAATACAGGTAGATGAGCAAATGTCTTATTCTATTCCTCAGCTCTTTAGAAAGTCCTCGTTGCTGGGAGAGAGAAATAGGAGGGAAAATAGAGGTTGGCGGTCAGTATTTGAAATAGAGATACAGCATATACCTTGAATCTGTAGTTATAGAATAGGAAAATATGTGCAGTTTCCTGTGCTGTGACTGATCTTTTTCCTTCCTCTCCATCCCAAAAAGCAATGATATGTCTCATATTTTAAAATGTTACAGATTTTAGGCCGAGCACAGTGACTCACACCTGTAATCCCAGCATTTTGAGAGGTATAGGCAGGCAGATTACTTGAGGTCAAGAGTTCGAGGTCAGCTTGGCCAACATGGTGAAACCCTGTTTCTACTAAAAATACAAAAAATAGCTGGGCAAGGTGGCAGGGCCTATAATTCCAGCTACTCGGGAGGCTGAGGCAGGAGAATTGCTTAAACCCAGGAAGTGGAGGTTGCAGTGAGCTACCACTGCACTCCAGCCTGGGCAACAGGGAGACTCCATCTCAGAAATAAAAACAAAATGTTACAGATTTTAATTTATAGTTCTAAAGCAGAAATACCTATTATTTCATAAATAAGCACGTGTCTTCAATATAATATGACACATTTTTCAAAAATTTGTTTTACCTTCCTTTATCTTTATGGAGTGACTTACAAGAGGGTTTATTTTATTAGCCTCATTGTTTTTCATAGCTGAGTCTGATTTTAAGAACTCCAGACCAGGACCAGGTGCGCTGGCTCATGTCTGTTAATCCTAGCACTTTGGGAGGCCAAGGTAGCTGGATCATTTGAGGTCAGGAGGGTGAGACCATCCTGGCCAACATAGTGAAACCCCATTTCTATGAAAAATACAAAAATTAGCCGGCCGTGGTGGCAGGCGCCTGTAATGTCAGCTACTCAGAAGGCTGAGGCAGGAGAATCACTTGAACCCGGGAAGCAAAGGTTGCAGTGAGCTGAGATTGCGCCACTGCATTCCGATTGCACCACTGCATTCCGGTCTGGGTGACAGAGAGAGACTCAGTCACAAAAAGAGAGAGAGAGAGAACTCCAAAGACCACTTTCATTTGTCTCAACAAGGAGAGAATAGCCTAGTTGGGAAGATGGGGAATAGCCTAGTTGGGAAGATAAAATACACGTATTTTATGTATTTTATCTAAACACATGTAAAAACAGATTGGTGATAGTGTACAGATTAGTAACTGAGGATCAGCATGAAATACAGCAATGAACAGGTTAAGGACTTGATTTGAAGCCTTCTGGGAAGTTAGAAACCTTTAGCTCTTCAAAAAAAATGATGGGCATAAATTGGTTAAGATGACATTCTGAGAATGAAGAAGAGTATAAGCAAAGGTGCAAGCATATTCCATATAATTTCAGAAAGTTGAAATTAAAGTGTGAAATGTGAGATTGTCAAATGTTGTTGAGCCCCAAGTGTATGTCCAGTTTTGAGGACCCTTGACCATAGAACACATCTACAAAAAAAAGAAAAGATACATCATGAAAACTGGGTTTTCCATCTTCATTTTCTCTCACATCCCCCATGCTTCTGACCCCTTATCCTCCATCCTTGAGCCTAGGCACATGAGCCTGCCCTTTGTCTGTTTCCCCATAGTTAAGCATTAAACAGGATTGGCACCAAGCCAGAAGCCTTCCCTCCTGAAAGACTCTGGTTATAGTATCTAATCCAATACAGAGTTGAGCATGTAAGATCTGCCCTTAATCTTTGGGGGCTTACATCTAGTAAGAGAAATGTCATTTTTAAACATATCACAGCCTAATTAGTGTAGTTTTTTTTTTAATTGACTGGGTATTGAAACCATTCCAGAGCTAAGGTAGTGGTCGTAATTTCTACAGCATACATTTTTACATTTTAACATTATTTTCTCATTGTATTTAATGTAATTCTCACATTGGCTCAATGATTGTAGGAAGTATTGCTCTGGCCAGCTATCAATAATAGTCATCTGCTTTAAAGTATGACTCCTACTACATTTGGTAATCAAGCTGGGTAGTGATAAACTGTCATCTAAAAAATAAGCCAGAAAAGTCATCTGTCCTACACCTCCTGAGCCAGAGGATATGGATTTGAACTCTGACTTTCCCTCCAGTGCATTCTATGCCTGTACATTTCTCTAATAGTGGTCGCTTGCTCACTCTATCTCGCTCGCTCTCTCTCCTTCTCTCTCCCGCTTCCTCCCTCCCTCCTTCTCTTTGTTTTTGAGATAGAGTCTTGTTCTGTCACACAAGCTGGAGTGCAGTGGCGCGATCTTGGCTCACACAACCTCTGCCTCCCAGGCTCAAGTGATTCTCTTGCTTCAGCCTCCCAAGTAGCTGGGATTACAGGCGTGTGCCAGCACACCTGGCTAATTTTTGTATTTTTAGTAGAGATGGTGTTTTACCATGTTGGCCAGGCTGGTCTGGAACTCCTGACCTCAAGTGATCTACCCTCCTCCACCTCCCAAAGTGCTGGGATTACAGGCATGAGCCACTGCACCCGGCCAATCATTACCTTTTAAATCATAGAGCCAGGTATAGAGAACAGTGAAGTGATTCTAGAACTGAGTTTCTGGAGCCACAAGGTTTGAATTCTGACTTTTCTACTTACTAATCTAAGGTCTTACAGCTAGTAAGTGGGAAAGTCAGGATTCAAACTCATGCCATCTATTTAGCCATCTACAAAATAGATGATAAAAGTACCTTCAGGCTGGGTGCAGTGGTTCACGCCTGTAATCCCAGCACTGTGGGAGGCCGAGGTGGGCGGATCACCTGACGTCAGGAGTTTGAGACCAGCCTGGCCAACATGGTGAAACGCCATCTCTACTAAAATTTTAATACCTTCTTAGATTGTTCAGAAGCCTTAATGAGATAATACACATAAAGCACTTAGAACTTAAAACATGGCAGTAAATACCCAATAATGTTAACCCTCCTATCATTACCATTACTAACATCATCATCATCAGTGGTTATAGTGGTTATATTGGCTTTTTTTTTTGAGACAGAGTCTCACTCTGTCGCCTAGGCTAGAGTGCAGTGGCCCAATCTCGACTCACTGCAACCTCTGCCTCCTGGTTCAAGCAATTCTTGTACCTCAGCCTCCTGAGTAACTGGGATTACAGGCACGTGCCACCACTCCCGGCTAATTTTTGTATTTTAGCAGAGACGGGGTTTCACCGTGTTGTTCAGGATGGTCTCGAACTCCTGAGCTCAGGCCATCTGCCCACCTCAGCCTTCTGAAGTGCTGGGATTATAGGTGTGAGCCACAGCGCCCAGCCTGGCTTTCTTTTTTTTTTTTTTAATAAAGATCCTTCAAGCCATTGAATATATATTGGCTTTATTTAACAAAATCACTGTAATCAAACTCTAATATTGTGGTACATTTGTAAATTAAGAACCTTTTATGCCTGTGTTGTTTCTATCTTAGAAACTGTAGAAACTGGAGAGTGGCAATACAGAATTGTGTTCGTGTGATTTCATTTAGATGATATAGAAAACAGAATTGAAAGATACACTGTCTATTGAATGCCTACTATACTAGATCCTTTAATTGTGCTATCTCATAATGGAAATAATACCTCCTTTCTAATGGAGGTGGTGTTTCCATTTTTTCTGGTAAGAAGCTAAGGAGCCTCAGAATAGTCACTTGTCCAATATCACTTAGATAGATGACTGATATCACATGTAGGTACCTTAAGCTCCAAAGCTCTCACTTTTTCTAATCCATTGCATCTCACTGCCATCCTGCCTGATTTTTACTTATTTCTACCTGAGGTAAACTGTGTTACTCTTTCTATATCAAATGCCCATCCTTATGTGGAAAGTTTCTTTTTCATAATTTAACCTTTTCATAATTCAATGCATCCAGCCTACAGTACGTACATTTACAAATGCTAGCCAGAAGCAATAGCTAACATAATAAAGTGGTAATGCTGTGGCTGACAGGAAAGCCTGTTGGCAGTGTTAGCTTATTTCTGACTGCTCATGCTTTCAAAGTTTATGGAGGCTGCTGAGCACGGTGGCTCACGCCTGTTATCCCAGCACTTTGGGAAGCCAAAGTGGGCAGATCACTTGAGGTCAGAAGTTCGAGACCAGCCTGACCAACGTGGTGAAACCCCATCTCTACTATGTAACAGGTGTTTAAATACAAAAATTAGCTGGGCATGGTGGCACATGCCCATAGTCCCAGCTACTCAGGAGGCTGAGGGAGGAGAATTGCTTCAACCTAGGAGGCAGAGTTTACAGTGAGCCAAGATTGCACCACTACACTCCAGCCTGGGCAACAGAGCAAGACTTCATCTCAAAAAAAATAAAGTTTATGGAGGTGGAAAACATAAACATTTGCAAGCCTTTGAAAAAAAACCTTTTTCTCTTGAAATTGTCTTTCAAATTTTAGGTTTCACTGCCTCAAGGTTCTCAAGGAATTCCCCATCAGACTTATCAACAGCCTGTTATGTTCCCTAATCAGTCTAATCAAGGATCTATGCCCACAACGGGAATGCCTGTTTACTATAGTGTCATTCCACCTGGTCAACAAAATAATTTAAGGTGAGTATGACTAAGTAACCTAATCTTCCAGCTTCTTATTGTTTACCAGGATTATGGTCTGTTGCTAGTTTTAAAGTTGACTAAGGGACATTGCTTGAGACCATTGTCTAATGTAGAATAGAAAAAACTATAATACAATATGCTTTTTAAAATATTTCTTTCGGCCAGACACGGTGGCTCATGCCTGTAATCCCAGCACTTTGGGAGGCCAAGGCTGGTGGATCACCTGAGGTCAGGTGTTCAAGACCAGCCTGGCCAACATGGTGAAACCCCGTCTCTACTAGTAAAACAAAAGTTAGCTGGGCGAGGCGGCGTACGCCTGTAATGACAACTGCTCAGGAGGGTAAGGCAGGAGAATCGTTTGAACCTGAGAGGCAGACGTTGTAGTGAGCCAAGATTGCGCCGTTGCACTCTAGCCTGGGCAACAAGAGTGAACTTCTGTCTCCAAAAAATATATATATATTTCTTTCAGTAAAATCATTACAAGGAAAGCAGTCCATATAAAACCTAAAGGCAAGTCAAATCTCTCTTGTGCCTAAAAATTAGGCCAATCTTCTGTTATTCACACAAATGGAGTAACAGTTGGCCATAGACTTCAGAGATGGGAGTGTAATATTTAAGGTTTTTATAGGGGTCTGGAAAAATTGTATTTCCTGTGTATAACTTTAGCAGTGAAATATCTTGCTGAAATATTTCAGGCTTTGGGAAGCTTATTTTTCATCAGTAAGGGGAGGGAAGGCATATAAGAGAAGTAAATGATAGTAGTTCTATATTAAAGCAAGTCATGAAGTATTCCATAAGCAGAAATGTCTCTGACAAGCCATGTTTTGAAAATACTAATCTTTCATTGAATTCCCTTTAGTTCATTGTTCAGAATGTATTACCAAACCATTGTTCATTTATTCTCATGGCATCCCTGTGTTACCAACCAAGTCCATTCTGCCTGCATATAGCAAGCCAATCACTGTGACAGTGGGTTTGCAAAAGAGAAAAGATTTTATTCACAAGGCTGCTTGTGAAAGGAGATGGGAGAACAAATCTCAAATCTGCCTCTGAAAATAGGGCTTGTGGGTACTTACAGAACAGAGAGTAGGGTGGTCTAAAGTGTGAGAAAATGTGATTGATAGGTAGGAAAGGTGATTGGCAGATTGGAAAGATGAGGTAGTTGGGGTTTCTGCACAAGCATAATCAAGCTACATGGTTCTTCATAGGACGTGTGTGGAGAAAATCGGGTTAGCATGATCTGAAGGTGGAATTTTAGGCCCTCTGATGCTAAAAGGTCACTCTCTGGGCACCTGTGCAGGCCTAGTTGAAGGATTCGTGATCTCAGCCAGCTTGGATTGGACATGAGTTGCCCCCTGGATCCTGAAAAACAGCTTTAAATACCTGTTATATAGTTCACCACAGTCAGAAATGTTATCTGTAAGGAAAATGGTGGGAGTTTAGTTATATATTGCTTGGCCATGTGACTTGCTAGTGGGAGTTTTAAGATTAGCTAAAAGTATCGATTAAAAGCAAACAAAGCCAGTTAAGTTTGGCAGGCTGATTAGGTTAGGCCTGTTTCACCTGGGAGGTTGCCAGAGGGGCAGCTGTTCTCCTTTAAAGAATGGGGGCCTAAGTTACCATCACTTATAAGAGGTTTTTAGGCCAGGGATGGTGACTCACACCTGTAATCCCAGCACTTTGGGAGGCAGAGGCGATTGGATCACTGGCGGTCAGGAGTTCAGGACCAGCCTAGCCAACATGGTGAAACCCCCTCTCTACTAAAAATACAAAAAATTAGGCCGGGCGCGGTGGCTCAAGCCTGTAATCCCAGCACTTTGGGAGGCCGAGACGGGCGGATCACGAGGTCAGGAGATCCAGACCATCCTGGCTAACACAGTGAAACTCCGTCTCTACTAAAACTACAAAAAAAAAAAAAACTAGCCAGGCGTGGTGGCGGGTGCCTGTAGTCCCAGCTACACGGGAGGCTGAGGCAGGAAAATGGCGTGAACCCGGGGGGTGGAGCTTGCAGTGAGCAGAGATCGCGCCACTGCACTCTAGCTTGGGCGACAGAGCGAGACTCCGTCTCAAAAAAAAAAAATTAGCCAGGCATGTTGGTGGGCACCTGTAATCCCAGGTACTCAGGAGGCTGAGGCAGAGGTCACAGTGAGCCAAGATGGTGCCATTGCACTCCAGCCTGGGCAACAAGAGCGAAACTCCGTCGCAAAAAATAAATAAATAAATTGTTGTCATTCAGTTATGGTTACAGATGGTATTTGGGGGTGGAGAAGGGATTGACATACTTTGTTGCACTAGAAAAGGGGGGCTTGGTTCTGAGTTTATCAGAACTCACCCTCCCCCAAGAGGAACTCACATATTTTCCCTCTCCTTCCATCGTTATGGCTGCCAGTGTTTCAGTGCATGATAGAGGAGGGCTTTTTTTTTTTTTTTTTTCTTTTGAGACGGAGTCTAACTCTGTTGCCCAGGCTGGAGTGCAGTGGTGCAAGCTCTGCTCACTGCACGCTCTGCATCCCGAGTTCAGGCGATTCTCCTGCCTCAGCCTCCCAAGTATCTGGGATTACAGGTATGCACTACCATGCCCCACTAATTTTTTTTGTTTGTTTTTTTAATAGAGATGGGGTTTACCATGTAGGCCAGACTGGTCTCTAACTCCTGACCTCAAGTTATCTGCCCGTGTAGACCTCCCAAAGTGCTGGGATTACAGGTGTGAACCACCATGCCCGGCCTGGCCCAGGCTTTTTAAATGGCACATTGATTGTGAATCTCTCAGGCAACCTTGCAATTTTATATCATATTGAGTCCCAGCTCCTTTGAGGCACAACCACTGCACAATGAAAATAGAAATATGTATTTCATTAAATTTCCCATTTGTTGTATGAGTTTAAATTTTATAAATAAGGAAAAAAATACTCCGAATCTGAGTTTTTTACCCTGATAAATCTAAGTTTGGGATCTAGAAGGCCAATTCAGTTTCCAAACTGTCAGAGGCAGAAATCTGTGCTAAAGTAGGTTGAAATGAGGAGTGAGGAAATTCATGAATTATCTACTTTTTGAACCAAAGTTTAATTTTTTATTTATCAGAGAATACTACCAAAGTTATCATTTCTGTGTGAGGCAGAGGCTGAGAGATGGGTACTAAGTCATCCTTTGTAGGCCTGCATACTGGGAGGAGGGGCTTTCATGAGGGAAGGATATCAAGCCTTTAAGAACCTATTTAAGACGGCTTATGCTTTCACACTTTTTCACGTTTGTTAGACTTGTCGGTCCCTTGAAACAGAAAAGATTTTGTGTGCTTGACTTGTGAGAGAGCTGGCCATAAGAGTGTGGATACAGGTGAGAGAGCATAATTATGTTCCTGCCTCTATAGTGAGCCTTATTTTAAAGATAAGGGCAGAATCCAAAAGCTGTCAAATGGGTGCTGATGAGTACACTTTGGAAAGATCCTTGATTTTAGTCCCTGGGCCTGCTTCGCAAAGGAAATAAAAAATTTGAAGAGCTAGCCTTGGCCTGAGGGATAGCCTAGAGCACAGAAATTAAAAGATAGATGAGATTCTCCAACAACCTCCAACGTGAATCTTGATTAAAAGTCTTTGGTGCTGGGCACAGTGGCTCACACCTGTAATTCCAGCACTTTGGGAGGCTGAGGCAGGTGGATCACTTGAGATCAGGAATTCAAGACCAGTCTGGCCAACATGGTGAAACCTCAACTTTACTAAAAATACAAAAATTAGCCAGGCATAGTGGCAAGCACATGTAATCCCAGCTACTCGGGAGGCTGAGGCAGGAGAATTGCTTGAACCTGGGAGACAGAGGTTGCAGTGAGCTCAGATTGCACCACAGCACTTCAGCCTGGGCAACAGAAGGAGACTCAGCCTCAAAAAAATAAAATAAAATAAAGTCTTTGGAATTACCCACAGCTTAGAGCTGTGACTCATATGAGGCAGATAAACTTGAAATAAGATAGGTGTAAGCTGACAGTAGTGATTGGTTACCATGTGACAAACTAGCATTGATCTGTTCCAGGTGTAGGGTGCCAATGTGAGAAATTGAATGGGTTGTACATGACGCAGGGAATGTGTATTCTGTCAGACTCTATCTTGGTACATTTTGGACTAGTTAGTTGGTAGGAAGTCAAGTCATGTACAGAAATAATTAAAGATCTCTGACCGGCTGCAGTGGCTCACACCTGTAATCCCTGCACTTTGGGAGGCCAAGGCAGGCAGATCACTTGAAGTCAGGAGTTTGAGACCAGCCTAGTCAACATGGTGAGACCCTGTCTCCACTAAAAATACAAAAACTAGCCAGGCGCAGTGGTGGTTGCCTGTAATCCCAGCTACTCGGGAGGCTGAGGCAGGAGAATCACTTGAACCTGGGAGGTGGAGGTTGTAGTGAGCCAAGATCATACCACTGCACTTCAGCCTGGGCAGCAGAGTGAGACCCCATCTCAAAAAAAAGAAAAAAAAACCCAACAACACAGAATTCATTAAAGATCTCTTTGGGTGAAAAAAAAATCATAATTAATTGATTAATTTTTTAAAGAATAGCAGCATTCTTCACAGAAAATGTCATTTCTGCTTCTGGGCAATATTTAATAGACAAATCACCATAATATTTCAAGTTTACTTGGAACTATCACTTAAAATGTCAATTATTGGTAATTTTTATTAATCAGATAGTTGAATTACCATCTAAGGGCTAATGAATGGAGGCAATTCAGAAATCTAGACTTAGTGGCTTATATAAATTACATTTTATCCTACATATTTCAGTATATTTACATGAAAAGCAGGGGTTGATCTAATTACTGAAGCACCAGCTGGGTGTGGTGGCCGGGCAACAGAGTGATACTCTGTCTCATAAATAAATAAATACATACATACACACATACATACTCACTCAAGCACCTGAAACAGGGCCTGGCATTAAAGTCAGAGCTTGGTAAATCTATACTGAATGAACATATTTCTTAAATGTCAAAGGCCAGCTTGCACATGTGT